TCGGAGGCTTACTAGATCCCCAATAGTGCCCAAGGATGCGCGAGGACTGCCACGAATACCAAGCCCAAGTGCGATTTCAAACACCAACGCGTGGGCTTCCAAGCCAATGACCCATCATCCGGACGTGGCCCCTCTGGCGCGCTATACGTTGGGCCCCATCGCAAGCTGGATTTGAGCGCGCGCGATCCGAGCGCGATGGTTATAGTCATTTGTTTTGCCAGGCAAGCCTCGAGGTACATTCTCGAGCAGATGTATTGCGCTTCGCAGCGACATGTCTGCACAAGCTATGCAAGGGGGGATTTCAGTTTTTGCTTCGAGCGAATTTGGGCCATACGTTAGAGGGAAACAATTACTGAACACTCCCCGTCCCCCCAAAACTCAACGCTGGCACGCGCGGGGGAGACTGCGGTCGAAGTGTATATCATCAGACCCACCGCCAACTTTGATGAACATCGGGGGGAGGGGGAGGCGTTGACAGATGAATGTGGCATGAGTGTTCGCTAATTTGTTCCGAGGCCTGTAGCACGGGCACACTTATGCGTGCATCCTCGCAACGGGTAGTTCGCCCAGTTCCCGATGCTGCACCGCGCGCCCGGGACGTCGGACGGCCAGGTGCGCACTCGGGCCCCCCCGCCATGCTGCGGCTCTGCTTCCCATCCCCGCGCTCGAGCAGCAACCCCGGCCTCAGCCGACGCGGCCTCCGGCCGCGGCACTGGAGCCACGTAGAGAAGCTCGGGCCGGACGAAATGGGGGGATTGGGAAAGGGGGGGGGTACGAAATTTGCTGCATGCAGCTGGTTTCGGCCTCACCGAGGGGCCCATTCCTCGATACATGGCCGCCTCCGGCGCCGGGAGGCGCTGGGAAAGTCAGCTACGTGAGCTGATTCTCAAACCCCCCCTCTGCTATCCCCCCCTTTCGCCCGACCCGACAAGCGGGTTCATCCGTACCAGCATTCGCGCGTCAGGTGCCCGCGCAAGGTCGCACGCCAACGCTCTCGTTGCCAACGCGGCGTGCCGCGCCGGCGCCCCGCGCAAGCCACCACGTGGGGTCGCTACGTCACCGCGCGGAGGACCCCGTTTCTTTCTCCCGCCCACTTGGCGACCGATGGGGCGCAGGGCGGCCGCGGCAGCCCTGATCGTGGCGCAGGCTTCAGAAAGACGATTCTTATCGGGTGGGGAGACGGGGGGCCAGGAGAGATGGTCGCATCTTGAATCGTGCCACGTATGTTCAGGGTGTTTCTTATTGCGCAGTCGTGCCCTGTATCTTCCCCACCCCTCCCTGGAGGGTTGCTCCGAAGGGCTTAGGCGACCCGTCCTCCTCCTCCTCCTCCTCCTCCTGCTCCTCCCTCCTCCTCCATCTCCATCTCCTCCTCCCCCTCCCCCTCCACCTCCTCCTCCTCCTCCTCCTCCTCCTCCTCCTCCTCCTCCTCCTCCTCCTCGGGTCGCCTACGGCCCCGGGGGAAACCGTGCGCCTCAAGGTTGCGCCGTGCTGGGCCGACGGCGGCGGCGAGGGCGCCGCGCTGCCCCCCGAGGAGTCCTGCGTGGACCACTGCGGCTCGTGGGCGGAGAGCTGCTGGTGCAACGAGAAATGCGACCAGCAGGACTTGTCATGGCTTATAATGTTCCAACCTACTTTAGTCTTGATCGCCAGAAAGAATTTCGAGTACCAGAAAAGTACCCAAACACTTTAGGGTATTCACGTGTCGGGCCCTGGGAGACACTCGTCCGACACTGTTTCGACACTCTTTCGACACTCTTCCGGGTGCTCGAAAGTATTTCTGGGATGTGGTCCTTAAGTACGATGGGAGCAACATAAGTCATGGCGCCAACAGCGCAGAGCGGATTTCGTTCGGAAGTCAATCGGATGGGACCAGAGGGTCCTGGAGAATCTCGTTCCGGATTTCGAGGTGCAGTTCGTGCGGATTTGTGTCTTGGCCAGGGATGACCACTGGAACCAGCTGACGCGAAATTCACGTCGTTCTTCGCTCGCCGCTTCAGGGTCTGGCACTGAGATGTCCACGCCAAACATCCGGTGCAGCACGTCTGCATGGTCGGTGCAGTGAGACCTGGAGCCCGCTGGGGGCCCGAGGCCGCCCAGTACTGGCTCCGGCGAGCGCGGAAGGCTGGCGGGCTCGAGGCTCTGGGCTCGGGAAGGTGCTTTTTCGCTTTCCCGGCCTCGGGGGGCCGTTTTCGGGCCCTGGGACCGAGATGCACGCATCGGGGAGGAGGAGCTTCATGAGATGGACTCTGGGAGGGGCTTGGGCCCGATCTTGACTGGGTTTGGCTTCATCCCCCCTCCTGACAGATTTTCTCGGGCGTCCGCTCCAGAGCGTTCCGGAACGCTTTTATAGAGCGTTCTGGAGCGCTCCGAGAAGGCCGCGGCGCTGGACACGTCCTCCAGAGCCGCTTGATCTCAGAGATTCTCGATCCGTCCTCATTGGAATTTGTCCTCGTCCTGGCTTCGTTTTTTTTCTTCGAAAGATAAACATAAGCTTGTGGCGCTCCGCGCGGATTCCCTGGATCGCCGCCTGGGCCCCCCTGGCGGCGCCTCCGGCGCCGCCCCTCGCGCGCTCCGCGCGCCAGGGATAGGGGCCCAGCGCGGATCCAAGAAATGCGCGCAGAGCGCCACCAGTTTCTGTTTTTGTGTGTAAAAAAAAAGCCTAACAGCGAAGACTGATGGGTTTCTAGTAGTGTCAAAAGAGCATCTTGACTCCCCAGGGGGGTCTGGGCGGGTGCCGGGGAGAAGCCGCGGAAGTCGTTTTGAGCAAACAGTTGCACACTTCGTGGTCTTCGAGGTCCCAGAACTCCATTCCCGGGACACATTCTGAATGCCCGGAGCCAACTGTAGGCCACTTCGTGCTCTTCGAGTTCCCAGAACTCCATTCCCGGGACACATTCTGAATGCCCGGAGCCAACTGTAGGCCACTTCGTGCTCTTCGAGTACCAAGAACTCGATTCCCGGGCCACATTTTGAATGCCCGGAGCCAACTGTAGGCCACTTCGTGCTCTTCGAGTTCCCAGAACTCCATTCCTGGGCATGATTGTGATTGCCCGGAGCCAACTGTAGGCCACTTCGTGTTCTTCGAGTTCCCAGAACTCCATTCCCGGGCCACATTTTGAATGCTGAGGCAGGCTGATGCTGAGGCTGAGGCAGGCTGAGGCTGAGGCAGGCTGAGGCTGAGGCCGAGGCTGAAGGCAGACTGAGGCTGAGGCTGAAGCAGGCTGAGGCTGAGGCTGAGGCAGGCTGAGGCTGAGGCTGAGGCAGGCTGATGCTGAGGCTGAGGCTGAGGCTGAGGCTGAGGCTGAGGCTGAGGCCGAGGCTGAAGGCAGACTGAGGCTGAGGCTGAAGCAGGCTGAGGCTGAGGCTGAGGCAGGCTGAGGCTGAGGCAGGCTGAGGCTGAGGCTGAGGCAGGCTGAGGCTGAGGCTGATGCAGGCTGAGGCTGAGGCAGGCTGAGGCTGAGGCCGAGGCTGAAGGCAGACTGAGGCTGAGGCTGAGCAGGCTGAGGCTGAGGCTGAGGCTGAGGCTGAGGCTGAGGCTGAGGCTGAGGCTGATGCAGGCTGAGGCTGAGGCAGGCTGAGGCTGAGGCCGAGGCTGAAGGCAGACTGAGGCTGAGGCTGAAGCAGGCTGAGGCTGAGGCTGAGGCAGGCTGAGGCTGAGGCTGAGGCAGGCTGATGCTGAGGCAGGCTGAGGCTGAGGCTGAGGCTGATGCAGGCTGAGGCTGAGGCAGGCTGAGGCTGAGGCCGAGGCTGAGGCAGCTGAGGCTGAGGCTGAGGCTGAGGCTGAAGGACTGAGGCTGAGGCTGAGGCTGAGGCTGAGGCTGAGGCTGAGGCTGAGGCTGAGGCTGAGGCTGAGGCAGGCTGAGGCTGAGGCTGCAGGCTGAGGCTGAGGCTGAGGCAGGCTGAGGCTGAGGCTGAGGCTGAGGCTGAGGTGCAGGCTGAGGCTGAGGCAGGCTGAGGCTGAGGCTGAGGCTGAGGCTGAGGCAGCAGGCTGAGGCTGAGGCTGAGGCAGGCTGCAGGCTGAGGCTGAGGCAGGCTGAGGCTGAGCAGGCTGAGGCTGAGGCTGAGGCTGAGGCTGAGGCTGAGGCTGAGGCAGGCTGATGCTGAGGCATGCTGAGGCTGAGGCTGAGGCTGATGCAGGCTGAGGCTGAGGCAGGCTGAGGCTGAGGCCGAGGCCGACGGCAGACTGAGGCTGAAGCAGGCTGAGGCTGAGGCTGAGGCAGGCTGAGGCTGAGGCTAAGGCAGGCTGATGCTGAGGCAGGCTGAGGCTGAGGCTGAGGCTGATGCAGGGTGAGGCTGAGGCAGGCTGAGGCTGAGGCTGAGGCAGACTGATGCTGAGGCTGAGGCTGAGGCTGAGGCAGGCTGAGGCTGAGGCAGGCTGAGGCTGAGGCTGAGGCAGGCTGAGTCTGAGGCTGTGATTGCGACTGCCGTTGCCACTGCGACTGTCATCGCGAATGCGACTACGACTGCGAGAACAGCAGAAGTCTACAACTGGATTATCATCTGAATCTTAATGGGAATGCTTCCAGATATGCTCCTACACATCGCTGTTAGGTTGCTTTGCCGGGATACTTTTTTCCTGAACGAACCAACGACACACACCAATACCCTTAGGGGGGTCGGAGAGGGCTATGGGTGCGTGTTGTCGGATGGGGGTCCCGCGCTCGAACGGGAGAGTACCCCAGGGTCGACAACCCGCACCCACACCCATAGCCAGTCTTCCTCCCAACGACCCCCCTATGGGTATGGGTGTGTGTGTGTGCTGTTCGGTCGTCAATTTCTGGGGTCCCGACCATCGGGACGACCGACATGGGTACGGAAAGAATCGGTACAAAGACCGACAGCAGTTCTTGTTCATTTTGAACGGGATTCGCTGTCGGCGTCGCCGCGGATTGTGTCCATTCGAGACAGAAGGCCGCCTGCCAAACAGCGGCCGCTGTTGGTTCGGGACAGCATTTGCTGTTGGGCATCGTGCCCATGGTTTCCGTGCCCACTTCCAGCGTCCAAGCACCAGTTCAGACCCCCCGGGCCGCCTGCTGCGCAGGACAACTGGCTGTGGGGCTGCTGCGCCGACTACGCCGCCGTGTGTGGCGGCGGCGGGGGCGGCGGTGGGTCGTGCCCCCGCGTCGGCGGCAGGTGCGGCGACTACTCGTGCGACGAGTGGATCCGGTGGAAGCCGTCGGAGCATATTGGGCGACGACGTCTCTGCCCAGGCAGGGTCGCGTCGTACACAAGAGCTCAGGATGGGAGGTGTTGGGCCACTCTCGGCCTCGGGGGGCCCGCGCCGGGCCTCGGGAGCGTCAGAAAGCGGCTCAGGATGGGAGACTGGCCCCTGGGAAAGGGTCGGGACTTCCAGGGATCCCGTATTGAAAACTATCCTGGCGAAGGACCCAACCATATGCAAACGTGAATACCGCAGGGCAGGTAGGACGAAGCAAGAGGAATTCTCTATGGGGCCACGATCCTCGTGAGAGGTGTGCCGAAATGGCCCGAGGCCGCCATGCGAACGCTGCCACTGGCGCCATCCTTGGAGCTCCCTTATGGGGCCACGATCCTCGTGAGGGGTATGCCTAAATGGGGCGGGGCCGCCATGCGAACGCGGCCACCGGGGCCTTCGCTGGAGCTCCTATGGGGCCACGATCCTCGTGAGGGGTGTGCCGAAATGGGGCGGGGCCGCCATGTGAACGCTGCCACTGGGGCCTTCGGTGGAGCTCCCTATGGGGCCGCGAACCGTGTGAGGGGTGCGCCAAAATGGGGCGGGGCCGCCATGCGAACGCTGCCACTGGGGCCTTCGCTGGAGCTCCCTATGGGGCCACGCTCCTCGTGAGGGGCGCGCCAAAATGGGGCGGGGCCACTATGCGAACGCTGCCACTGGGGCCTTCGGTGGAGCTCCCTATGGGGCCACGATCCTCGTGAGGGGTATGCCGAAATGGGGCGGGGCCGCCATGCGAACGCGGCCACTGGGGCCTTCGGTGGAGCTCCCTATGGGGCCACGATCCTCGTGAGAGGTATGCCGAAATGGGGCGGGGCCGCCATGCGAACGCGGCCACTGGGGCCTTCGGTGGAGCTCCCTATGGGGCCACGATCCTCGTGAGGGGTATGCCGGAATGGGGCGGGGCCGCCATGCGAACGCGGCCACTGGGGCCTTCGGTGGAGCTCCCTATGGGGCCACGATCCTCGTGAGGGGTATGCCATGCGAAATGGGCGGGGCCGCCATGCGAATGCGAACGGCCACTGGGGCCTTCGGTGGAGCTCCCTATGGGGCCACGATCCTCGTGAGGGGTATGCCGAAATGGCGGGGCCGCCATGCGAACGCGGCCACTGGGGCCTTCGGTGGAGCTCCCTATGGGGCCACGATCCTCGTGAGGGGTATGCTGGAATGGGGCGGGGCCGCCATGCGAACGCGGCCACTGGGGCCTTCGGTGGAGCTCCTATGGGGCCACGATCCTCGTGATGGGTATGCCGAAATGGGGCGGGGCCGCCATGCGAACGCGGCCACTGGGGCCTTCGGTGGAGCTCCCTATGGGGCCACGATCCTCGTGAGGGGTATGCCGGAATGGGGCGGGGCCGCCATGCGAACGCGGCCACTGGGGCCTTCGGTGGAGCTCCCTATGGGGCCACGATCCTCGTGAGGGGTGCGCCAAAATGCGGCGGGGCCGCCATGCGAACGCGGCCACTGGGGCCTTCGGTGGAGCTCCCTATGGGGCCACGAAACGCTGCACTGGGTGGGTGAAACGCAGGGAGGAGAGGGGAGGAGGAGAGGAGGAGGAGGAGAGGAGAGGAGAGGAGACGCGGGCCACCGTCTCTTCAAAACGAGGACCCAACACCACAGGATGGTTGGGAAAAACAGGACGTCGCCTGTCTGGGTATTCATGTCCACTGCTCCCTGGCCAGGCCCGTCCTCAACCCGGGAGCTGTGCAGGCGCCGTCCCGGCCAAGCCCGGAGAGCGTGGCGTCTGCACCGCTGCTGGGTGCTCAGGAGAGACCTGGCCAGGGAGCAGTGGAGGTGCTCCGGCGCCGTCGCCCCAGGAGTACACGTGCCAGAGCCTGGAGGAGCGGTGGGGCTGCGATTGCACCGGCTGCAAGGAGTGCGGGGGCCCAGCGCCCAAGCCTGCGGGCACCGCGGCGCTGAGGCTGCTGCCGGAGAGCGACTACCCAGAGGCCAGGTGCCTGGACGGGAGCCAGGCGGCCGACGACCGCATCGGGGCGCCCCCGCCCAGCACTCCGCCGCTGCCGCGGGCGAGAAGCAGATCCGCATCCGCGGCCACGCCGACTGGGCTTCGTGGCCCGTGGCCCCGCGCATGCGCGGCGCGGCCTCGCGGCTGCCCCGCGCGGAGCGTGTCCGTGCCACCGCGCGTCCGCGGGGGCGCGCCCTGGGATCGAGACCGCGAGGGCGGGCATGCGGATACGTGCGTTCTTCCCTCGTGAGCTGGCCGTTCGGGTCCGGGTTGGAAGGCCAGGGCCGCCCCGCATGGTCGGCCTCGCGCAGAGGGCGGTAGGGGGAGGGGGGGAAGGCTTCCCAGAAGCACCCTGCTTCTTAGAAGGCGCTGGCCTTGCCAGCAGACGCAGGGCCGGCGCCTTCCAAGAAGCAGCCTCCATCGAATAAACATAAACATATCTATCTATCTAATATATCTATCTATATATCTATCTATCTATCTGTCTGTCTGTCTGTCTATCTATCTATCTATCGATCTATCTATATGTACAACTTTTCTTACAAAACAATATTGTAAGTATAATAATAAAACAAACAAAAAAAGAAGCAGCCTCCACCGAAAAAGCCTTTCCCCCTCCCCCCTACAGTCGGACCGAGGGTGTAAGCTCGAGGTTGGCTCGGGGAGGGCCCCCTCGTGTGCTTCGTGCTTGTTGGGTGCCCTGTGCTTCCTAGGCAGGGTACCCTTGGACACCCTGCGTGTTTGGGCCGGCGGAGGGCCTCGTGTTCCCGAGGGGCGTTCTTCTGGCCTGGGCCCCGCTGCACCCCCCTCTGCGCGCCGCCCTCGCGGCGTCGGGATCGACGGGCGGCCGCCCCGGACGTGGCCCCAGCCGGCCTCGGCTGGCCTCGGCCGGTCGCCCAGGCACGGCCTCGGCCGCCGGTGCCGCACGTGGGGGCGCTCTCTCCAGGGCGATTGGAGCCCCGGGGGCTGCCAAGACGAGGCCAGGACGAGGACGAGCTCGGATCTCGGGAGGACTCGCGAGTCTCTGAGATCTGGCGGCTCTGTGGGGGACGCATCGGGCGTCGCAGTCTGTCTCAGAGCGCTCCGGAAGGCTCTGAGAGCGTTCCAGAGCGCTAGCTTTGGAGCGGATTTATCATCGTGCTAGCCTCATCCTAGTTGCCGAGACCGCCCTGAATTATATGGAACGCTCGTCGATGCCGGTCGGAGCTACTCCCGGGGGGTGTCTGCGTGCCGCCCCAAAGTGTCAAGCAGTGGCGAAGCGTCCTGGATTGCTGATGTGCCCAGCAAGCAATGTTAGAAGGTCCTGCGATGGTATGCGCGAAATATTCCAATAACATGTCTGGCTGTGAGAGTCTTGTTTAATAAATACGTTTGCTGCGTGCTGCTGTAACAGTTTTGGTTTTGTTGGGCATTCGTCCGTTCTGAAAACATGTCGTGGTATGGCTACAGGAAGACTGGGATCGGCCAGTCCCTGCTCAAAAGCTTTTGCCAAATGGGTACTTGCGTCGATTGGCCAGGCGGGCTACTACCTCCGCGAGGGGAGCTCGACCCACTTCCAGGTCTACCTCGAGGGCGGGGGGTGGTGCTACGATCAGGACTGCGCCAACCCCACCGTCGAGGGTACACTCAGGGACTGCCGTGACCGCGCGAAGGCTCTGCCTGCCCCACCTCATTCTCTCCGACCTTCCTTGCCCTGATGTTCCTCTTCTCTCCTCGCCTCTCCTCTCTATGAGCCACTCCCTCGTCGCATCGCCAGACGCTGACCGGGCAGGCCAGGAGGGAGCCGACAAATTTGGGGAGGGTGTCATATCATCATACTGTTTGCCCTGTGTGTGTGTGTTTGTGTGGGGGTATGTGTGTTTGTGTGTGTGGTATGTGTTTTTGCGTGTGTGTGTGTTTGTGTGTGTGTGGGTATGTGTTTGCTGATGTCAGTTATGTGTTGCTTTCTCTCTCTTACTCTTTCTCTTTCTCTCTCCCTGTCCCTCTCCTCCTCAGCTCCCCTCGCATGTCGCCGGCTTGTGTCATCCTCATGCCTCATCTCAGCCCGGTTGCTTGCGCCGCCGATGCTCGTGCATCCCAGCACCCTCCACCTCCCTCCTTTCCTCCAGCTCCTCTCCTCCTCTCCTCCCTCCTCCCTCCTCTCCTCTCCTGCCATGCCCTCCCTGCTTCCCCCTCCCTCCTCTCCTACAGCTCCTCGTCCTGCCCCTGCAGTCGGCGGTGCGCCCAAGGGGGGAAGCGAGAGGGGGCAGGCTTCCCTTTGGGAGGCGGCGGAGCTCCTCGGAAGCCCTGCGCCCCTCTGAGAGAACGCAGTCTCAGAACGCTTCTCTCGGGCCGAACGGAAAATGGGGGGATAGGGAAAGGGGGGGGTACGAAATCTGCTGCACGCAGCTGGATTCGGCCCCGCCGCGAGGGGCCCACTCCTCTTTACATGGCCTGCTCTGGCGCCGGGAGGCGCCTCGAACATCAGCCACGTGAGCTGATTCTCAAACCCCCCCTTTCCTATCCCCCCCTTCCGCCCGGCCCGCTTCTCCTCAGAGGACTGAGAGGCCCTCCCTTTGCGCCTCCTGAGAAGACGAAAAACAATACTAATACGAACACTAAGAATATTACTAGTGATACAAATACGAAGAAGAAAGCGAATAATAAGACGAATAATAATAATAGCATGAATCATAATAACAAGAAGAGCCACCACCGTCGTAATAATAATAATACTACTACTAATAATAATACTAATACTAATAATGATAATAATAATAACAACAACAACAATAATAACAACAAAACTAATACTACTAACATCAATAATAAGCATACTACTACAA